ACCCCAAAGAAATGCATCAACATTTTAATGGTTCGCACGGGTAGAAAATGTTGGTTCAATTAAAAAAATTTGTACTAACTTTTTTACTAATGCAAATCATCACATTAGCATGCACAAAATGTTGTTGCATGTCTTTGAAGTATAAAATGGAATATAAATTTTAGTGTACAAATAACTTAATCCAAAAATTTAACCAAAAAAGGAAGTACAAATATTCTTGAGTAAAATTCCATAAAAGGTCCTTAGTTATAGGTCATTTTACATATTTACTTCCTACATATCAAATATTACTAATTTAGTCCCCAATTATTATATTCATTTCCACGAATGGTCCTTTATTAGCATTTCCGTTAAGAACGTGGATAAAATTGTAAATTCACTTTCCTTTCTCTTCTCAATTAAGCTTCCTCCCTCCCCTCGCACTCTTTTCCCAAACCCGTCGCTGAGTTTGAAGCTTTGAATCTAAAACCGAAATCATCACTCTTCTCTCAGTTGTTTGTCTAACTGGTGGAACCCAAATTCGAAACCAGTAACTTTCATGGATGAGTTTTAATGTTTATTTTCTTTGCAATTTTTTGAGACTAACCGATAAAACTCATGCATAAAGCTTATTAGTTTTGATTTTAGGTTCTACCAGAAAGACTAATAATTAAGAGAGGAATGATCATTTCAGATTTGGGTTTAGAGCTTCAAACTCAGCGACGAGTTTGGGAAAGAGTACGAGAGGAGGGAGGAAGCTTAATTAAGGAGAGAGAGAGAGAGAGAAGTATCAATATACAATTTAATCCATGTTCTTAACAAAAATGTTAATAAAGGACCATTTTTGAAAAAAATGATATAATAATTGGGGACTAAATTAGTAATATTTGATATGTATTGACTAAATATGTAAAACGACCTATAATTGGGGTTCTTTTGTAGAATTTACTCAATATTGTCTCTAAATGTGAGTATTGTTCTCCGTACTTGTTAAGACAACAATCATAATGCTCCTAGGAAAAACTAGTATTCCACCCCTGCAATGCACGGGAAATAATAACTCAAAATTCGATCAAGGGAAGCCTCAAGCTATATTTTATACCCCCAACACATCCCTTCACGTGCTTGAGGAGTGTACTACAAAAAACAGCCAATATTTGAAAGTCACCAAAAATATCCATATAATTAAATGATTTAATTTCATGAATAATTATGTCGTATGTGTATAATAAAACTCTTAGTATACAAAATAATACTCTGTATTTGAATATTGCAAATATAGAATAAGCTTTTACTCTTCCAAATTACTAGTATCACACCCGTATATTGCACGGCTTGCATTTATATTATTAAATTATAGTCGAATCATTATTGAAGAATAGAAATTAGTATAAATAATAAAATATAAAGTTCAGTATTTTAAAGGATTGAATATAAACTTTTTATCTCTATCACAGTGGAACATGCAATACTAATATTAAAAAAAAATTGCATTTGTTTACAATCTCATAATAAGTGTGAAAGTTAGTTTTTATTTATTGAACATCTTCTGAATGAGTTTAAATTTTAAATGGATGAGATATTGTCCATTATTAAATCCTATTATTTTTGTCCTTATAAAACAATCGCTATTCAAGGTTATTTGAAATCTTACCATTTATAGATAAGTATTTTTTATTTTTCATATTATTTTATTTCATCAATTTATTTATCTCAATTTACAAAAATGTACTAAAATATATTATGTTGAATATCTACTTCTTGCCATTTTTAGATGAGTGTTTGTATAATAAAATATTTTTTCATCCGTTGATTTATTTCCATTTATGCTAAAATATACTATGTTGAAAATTATTTCTTGGCATTTTTAGATGAGCGTTTTTATACTAGAATATTTAATTCTACCCATTGTTTTATTTACATTTATATTAAAATTAACTATGTTGAATTTTTGATTCTTAATATTTTCCAAAAATGAACACTATTGCTATTTATAAAAATTTATACCATATTATACTCTATTGAATATTTGTTTCTTGCCATTTTCGATGAGTGTTTTTATACTAAATTTTTTATTTAATCAATTGATTTATTTTCCTTTATAAATATGCAGTAAAATATGTATTTATTTATTCAAGCCCACGTGTAACAAAATTTTTCTAAAATAAATTTAGACCACCCGCTGCAATTAAATAATGATGGTGCTAATCTCCATATAGAATAAGCTCTTTATATAATAAAACTCCATATATAATAAACTTTCCTAAGATAAATCTAGACCACGCCTATAAATTTTGATCGTGATTAATAATAATATTTATATTTATTAATTAAATTATAAATTCCACATATAACAAAATTTTCTAAAATAAATCTAGACCTCTCCATATATAATAAAAAGTTCTAACACGTATTTATTAAAGTCCATATAAAAAAAATATCTTAAAATAAATATAGACCACCCTAAAAACTTTGAAAATGATAAATAAAAAATATTTATATTTATTTATTAAGCCCATATATAACAATTTTTTCTAAAATAAATCTAGATTGCCCAAAGAAAAATTGACCGTGATTAATAATAATATTTCTGTTTATTTATCTATTAAATTCCATTTACAAACATTTTTTCCTAAAATATATCTAAAACTTTCCTTGTATAACAAAAAGTGAACACGTCCATGGGCGGGAAAACTGGTCATAGAATTCTCCTGCTTTTAAACTAAGTATAGATAGATTATTTTCCATTTCTTAATGGTAAGTTACGGCTCCATCGTTCCAATTAAATATTAATTGGTAAGCACTCCCCTCGTCCAAAAATATTCTTCCAACTTTTCTTTTTGGCCCGTTTGGAAATATTCTTCCCATTTCCTTTCTTAGTATACTTTTTAATGATAAATTTCAATAATATCCTTCTATTTTATCACTAATATACTTTTTTTTGTACTTTTTTTAATAAGAAAAAGAGATTTAAAAGTTTATAGTATGTGCATTTTTTAAATTTTGGCATTTTTTACTATTCCTTAATATTTTCCATCATCTCCGATGGAGCCAAAATTTCACCATTTTTTGGTTTTGGGGTGTGATGGAATAAATCAAAATGAATCTCTAAACTGTCTGCGCTTCTTTAATTAATGAAGTAGCAGTTAGTCAAGCAATGAAACTTTTGATGTTGAGCCGGGGGTCTCTTTGGAAACAACCTCTCTACTTTCGAGTAGGGGTAAGGTCTGCGTACACACACCCTCCCCAGACCCTACTCTTGCGGGATTTAACTGGGTTGTTGATGTTTTTTACTATTTCTTAATAAGCATGTCAAGTCAACACAGGGAAAATATTGCTGTACGGAGGGAGTATGAAACGCGCACAATTTCATGCGTGCATTAAATACTATTTACAAATACACCATCTCCAACGATGCTCTTTAAATGGAAAGTATGAACATAATTCTGGAGAGTGCATTAAATATTCTTGGGCGGGAAAACTAAAAGTTGACTTCTACTTCTTTTTAAATAAAGTATGGATATGGATTCCTCTACAATGAAGAAATCACCGTTGTTTGGCTATTCTAGGCGTTAATGGAGATTCTAAAAGCCACATTTGACAATAAGATGCGCATCTCACACCCACTTCACTCTCTACCACCTTTCACCTTAGACACAATAACAGAAGAATACATATGCTTATGGGCTCCCTACATCGACTCAATATTGTAACATTGTTTCATGTTTATTTCTTAGGATTGTCACATTGTTCTGTTGATGTAAGGGCTACATCACAATCTCTTTCATGGTTATGTAGAGTGTTCAAAAGTGATTGAGAATCAAGCAAAAGTGAAAATTTTAAATCACACAAATTAAATATCTGCACAATCAAAAAATAAAAAATTAAGAATAAATTAAAAACCTAAATGTAGAAAAAATATAATTTTTTTAGAGATTTTTAGAAAGAATGCCCTAGATTAACTTCCACTCAGTTCTTATTTAGGCTCTCAATTTCAAAATGTGAATAGTACACTTATACAAAGTAATTGCAGAAAGTTATATAAAAAATTGAAGCGCAACTTAAAATTTAATAAACTATGACTATATGATATGGAGTATATAAGTAAGAAAAATTGAAAAAGAGCATAATGAAGATAGTGTACATCACTATATTTTCCTATTTCAAAGTTCGCAAAGTCCAATAGCCATAGACAATGATCATTTAACATTTGGGTTTAGAGCTTCAAACTCAGCGACGAGTTTGGGAAAGAGTACGAGAGGAGGGAGGAAGTTTAATTGAAGAGAGAAATTTATGAATATACAATTTTATCCATTTTCTTAACAAAAACATTAATAAAGGACCATTTTTAAAAAAATGATATAATAATTGAAGACTAAATTAATAATATTTGATATGTAAAGATTAAATATGTAAAACGATATAAAACTAGGAATCTTTTAGGTAGTGTTTGGAAACTAGGATGTCATTTCAATTCATGTATTTCAATTCCTAAATTTGAAATATTGAATTTCAAATAATAAGGGGGGGTGCTTGGATTTAAAATTAAGCTTTGTTATGAATGAGAAGAACTTGATTCAAATCCAAATTCAAAATTTGTAAGTTTTCCAAACATAGAATTTGAGCCAAATCCGGATTTGAAATCCAAATCCATGTTTCCAAACATACCATTCAGGGTCCGTTTGGTATAAGGAATTGGTGGAATTGGAATTGAATTGGAATTGTAATTCCATTGGATTCAATTCCATAGAATTGAATTCTATCAATTTCAATTCATTTTTTGCACTATCAATTCCAAATCTACATAATATTTGTGCTACCAAACACTATAATTGGAATTGAAGTCCTCAATTCAATTCCATAGTTTGAATTCCATGTACTAAACGGGGCCTTATACAATTTATCCATAAGCATTGTTCTCCGTATTTGATTAGACAACAATCATAATGCTCATGGGGAAAATAAAGAGACACATTACAGTACATCATTGCACTCTGAACTCCCATTTCCGAAGAGAAGAACTACAGTACCCCGAGTATATATGGAGTAGATTCTAATACCCGAACGATCTTCTAGAGCTAATCAACTATGGCCACGGCCACTCACCTCCCCTGGGAGATCATCGTTGATATTCTCTGCCGATTACCGGTGGAAGATCTGCTCCGGTACAGGGCCGTATCAATCGCCACCTCAAGCTCTCTCCGGATTCCACCTCCCGGCTCGGTTTCGTCTTCGGCGGCAGCAACGGCCTCTACTGGACCTCCTTGAACGGTCTCAACTCGTTCGCGCCACTCACTTACCCGATCGACGCCGGAACAGGGATCAGCGTTCACGGGAGCTGTAACGGATTGCTGGCTCTTATGAACCCTAATTCGGATATGGCGATTTGGAACCCGTCCACTCGGAGGTACATAGTTTTACCTATTTCCGATCATTTCCAATCCTTTCCCTGCCACGAATTCGAGATTTTCCTCACCGGATTTGGGTACGACCCAATTAATGACGACTATAAGTTGCTATTGCTGATCGAATTTCAAGGGCTATTCAAACCATCTTTTCACCGCGATGTCAAGATTTACAGTTTAAATGCTAAAACCTGGAAGAAAATTGATAATTTTCCTGCTAATGTCTCTTACTGTCGTAACAACGGGGTACTCTTTGGAAATTCTCTGCACTGGTTGGTGAAGTCTAAACCTGATAATTCCAACCTGATTTTGGCCTTTGATCTTGTCAATGAAAACTTCCGCGAGATCGAACTGCCACAAAACAATTGCTTTTGTGTGAAGCTGGTGAATTTAGGAGGCTCACTTTGTGCTGTAATTTTATCAAAGGTAGCTGCAATGGTTGAGGTGTGGGAGATGAAAGAAAATGGAGTAGCTAAGGAGTCATGGGCTATAATTTTCTCTGTTCCGTCCACAACTCCCACTCCCCCTTTCAACTATTTCATCCCGGTTGCCTATGTGAAGAACGGCGATCAGGTTTTGGTCCAGGACAGTGAAAAACTATTTGTGTTTGATATCAAAAGGAGAAAGATGATCAAGAGGGCGGTGGGTTCCGGTTTTCCTAAAATTTGTGATGCCCTTGTTTGCATGAAAAGCCTTGTGGGACTTGAATTTGCAGAAAGCACTTGGAAATGGAAGAAGAGCAGCATCAAGATTAAAGAAAAGAGGGGAAGTGGTAAAAAGAGGTATGAATTCAAATATAGTACTTCCTTAATTGGTATGACAAGCTTTCATAATGCATTGAAAATGAATCATAAAATATGTCTACATTTATTTATTTTTTCTATGTATCAAAAAAATCATAATGATTAGTTTAAAATGAAGGTAGTTTTTATACATTTTTTAATGCATTAAGAATGCCATAATGAATTTTGGTATGTTTATATGACTGCAACTCTAAGAGGCATTAGTGTCGTGTCGTTTACTGAATCTAAAAGTAATTATGTAAAAATTGCTGCAAGTACATGTTCTTTAGTGAGTTTACTCTTTTAATGTATGTACTGATTGTTGACTGTTAATTTGCTGGATTTGGTTGGAGTAGAGATGATTTCCTTTCCAAAGGATTTAAACTGGCATTATAATTAAGCGGAGGATGAAGAAGAAGATGCGATGCAGGATTCGGGTTGAAGCAGCCAGCGGAAGCAATTCGTTTTGGTCTCGAACACAAGAATCATGTTTTTGACAAGACCTAGTTATGAATTGTGATGAAATTCTTGTTTTTTTGTTACTGGTGAGTAGTGATGACTTGTTGGGATGTTTTCTTTTTTCTTTTTTGTTATCAGTCTTCCGTTAAATATATATGCTGCTGGTTATTTTAAGGAATTATCGTGGGGTGTGATGAAGCCAAAATACATTGATGCATGAGTAGTTTTCCAGATGTTTTCATTAATGCGGATGGATTACACTACTCCCCATTTGATTTTGATTCGGGCAGAGGGTATATATACATTACTCCTGTCCCAATGCATTGTCTGGACAAAGAGAGAGAATGGAAGGAGTGAGAGAGAGAGGGGTTGGATAGAAAAGGGAGAGAAGATAAAATGAAGAGAATATAGATGTTGTTTGGATAGGTAAAATTGGTGAGAAAAGGTAAAGAAATGCACACACACACACACATCCGCATTAATGGGGGAACTATGTAATTTTTCTTTTAGGGCTCATGTCACAATGCATAAGGAGAGGGAAAAACTATGTTAGAAAAATGATTTGTTATTAATTATTATTTCACTGATTATTTTGAATAATGAAGACATAATGTATTTATTTCTTATATTTATTCTATGAAGATGAAATATTAATTAGTGTACTTTTCTATGTTTTTTTGTCTCCTTTCTCTCGAGACAAGTGTCATTAAAGTACATTAACAAATTGTTTCGTAGAGCAACCGAACAATTTGGTCTCTTCATTGTATCCTAAAATTCTATCTTGTATACCCTTCTTGCTTATAATAGGGTAGATAAGAAACTTTTAGGAGAGCGTGTCTAAGAATCACGCGCCTTGAAGATTTATCCAGTTAATTTAACCAACCATGTTTTGAGCTACGTGTGGCTTGATCTCCTTCATTGGGGTACGTAGGCAACTTAGAATGTTTTATTTTTTTAAGTGCAGTCACAATAATAAAATTATTTTTTATTGTTCCAACAGCTGGCGGCGATGATTGAGCCAGTGATGATGTGGACAATGGTGAGCGCTAGCCCTGGCACAGAGATTGATTAAGGGAGGGAAAGGCAGGGTTGGGATTGTAAAACATGAAAAAAATGAAGGGTATATTGGACATTTCTCTCCCATAGTCAACCATTCAAAAAAATGAAAAATATCCAAACGGGAAGGTTTTTTCTGGACAGAGGGAGTATAATTAACGTATTATTCGGATATTATAGTCTAAATTTTTATATTTTATTTCATTCTATATTTATATATATACTTAGTGAAACATTTGAGAACAATGCAAACCGAAACAGGTAATGGATAATGTTTTTAGAATTATTCACACATATTAGTCTGTGTACCATATGTGCTTATTGAGGGTAAAGAATACTTCCTATTTTTTGTATTCAGAATTGTATTTTTGCTTAAGAAATTGATTTAGAGTCATTCATTTTTATAGAATCATTTGTTATGCGTGCATATACTTCTCTGAATAAATGTTTTTACAGAGTAATTTTATCTTTAGGTTAGTTGTCTTATGCCAAATAAAAAAAGGTTTTGGTCGCTACCTATCTTGAAATAATAATCATTAAAAAACTCCTCATTATATGAGTATATTTAATCATCTCACTTGATTTGTATCAATATTTATACTTATCATATCCAATGAAAAATTCATATTTCAAAACAACATTTCAAAAAAATATTCGCATTACATTTATAAAAAACAAAATTTATTCTTTTCATATATCTAGGTTCATATTTATAAAATTTGACCGATAAAATAAAATTAGAAGATTAAATCTAGACGAAAAATGTATTATGGAAGAATTTTGACACTTAATATAATTTAATAGAATTGTGTGAAAACTTAAATTCTTATTTGTGACTAACAAAAAAGTTTTGAAATCAACTTATATAGAATATATTTATATTGAGGATGTGATATAATTATTCTCTATTATACGAAGTACAATATAACTTAGTTATGGTATATATATATATATATATATATATATACACACACACACACACACACACATACATACATACATACATACATACACACATATATATCCAGTTGGTCTTTATTTTAAATGAAACGGACCATAGAGCATAGTTTTCAGAACCAGATCAGTGACCGAACCGGACAACGTACTGGTTCACTGGTCAAACCAGTGGTTTTTATATATATATATATATATATATATATATATATATATATATATATATATATATATATATATATATATATATATATATTGTAACACCCCAACCCGCATGACCCAAACCCGTGAGACAGCGGACCGGTGTGTCACTGAATTGGTATCCGAATTTGCGACATTTTCAAAACAATTTTAAACAAATGTTCTATCAATACATATAAAAATTCATCGGAGTAATTTAAAATAATGCGGAAGCCTTTTTAAAGTCAAACAACTTGGGATCTTGCCCGAAAACGTAATAAGCATTAAAGTTAATTAAATAAAGCATAATCAACACATTAAAGAGACAGCCACGCTGCAACTCGGCGGCGCTCGTTTCCGGCGAGGGCGAAACAGCGGCGTCCGGCGCTGGCTCACGGCGGTGAGCGACGGCGGTGAGCGACGGTGGCTGGAGGCGAAGGAGAGGCAGCAGTGGTGCGGCGAGGAGGCGGAGGTCGATCGGCGGCTTGCTCACAGCGGCGACGATCGGCGAAGAAGAAGAAGAAGAAATCGAAGAAGAAGAAAGAAGAAAGAAGAAGAAGAAGAAAGAAATAGAAGAAGAAGGAAGAAAAAGGAACGGACGAACGAAAGATAAGGTTTGTGTGGTTATGTTTAGGTTTATTTAATGGTCCCATTCCAAAAAGGATTGGGATTCAGACCCAAAATACCTGATTAAATGGTCATAACTTGAGCTCTGTAACTCCGATTCGCGAGCCGTCTGAACCGACGCGATCACAAAAATATTTACTACGAGATGACATAAAAGTTGGGCTTAAAATCCAAATTATAATTTTAACCCCTTATTGGGCCCAATTCGTAATCAATTGCTCTAACAATTTAATTAATTCTTTTGGGCCAGATTTCGGGGCGTTACATTTCTCCCCCCCTTAAAAAGAATTTCGTCCTCGAAATTACCTGAGTCATTGGTCGTCGAAGAGATG